CCTGCTCTATTTAATGTATTAGTCAGAGAGCTGCAGGCTAAAACAAAACAAAACAAAAACCCCTGAAACATTTTCAGACATTTGATACAAATGGTTTGGTGTCTGCAGCGAGATGGAAAAACTGTGGAATGCTTGCTGAGGGATTGCAGAGTGTCTGTGCATCTCTTGCAAGCACTAAGAAATGTTAAGTCTTGCCATTTGGTGTTGGCACAACATCTAGTTGGTTTCCTTGGCAGGGATGGGGTTAAACTTGGTTGAGTTGCTGACGCAGTAGGTATCCAGGTGGAGCAAAGGGCGGCACCTGGCCCAATGGGAATGCACCAAGCAAAGGTGCAAGAGTGGCTGCACAGGTGAGCGAGCACTTGGAGAGAGAGAGCGCATCAGGAAGAAGAGAATGGTTGGGGACAGTGTGTGGCCGGTGTAGGAATCGGTTGTTGGTTTTGATGGGATTGCGGACCGTTGTGATGTGCAAGCAGTTGTACTGGACCTGGGATTCCACCCTTATCTCCGGCATTCATCTGGAGGAGAGTTTAGTCTCTGGGGAAGCACAAACGCCTAAGGTGTTGCCGCAGGTGAAGTCCGCATTCTACCTCCTTCCTTGAAGGACCTCAGTGTCAGCCCTGAATGAGCTGAGCGATTGCAGCTTGGCTATCTTTGGCTGGGACTGAGAATTCCGTTCTGGTTGCTGTGCGTTGTTGATTTTCAGATATCGGGTGTCTTCTGTTCTTTTATGAAGTGGATTCTCAGTAAACGGCTTCGTTGCATAATTTTTTTTTCAGTAGCAGGCAAGACAAAAGTGTTTGCAGTATTGGTTTATTAAGCAAAGTGAGGAGGAGACCATTTCTAGCATCTAACTTGATTTCTAATTCTCTGGTTGTATTTTTTTAATCTTCCTCTTTTGACAGAGGCTGCTTCAGGTCTAAAGCACGGATAAATTGGTTTCACCCATCCTCCTCCTTAAGAAAACACAGGCAATCAATCTCCTGGGTCTCCCCACCACCACCACACACTCACATTTATTTTTCAAAATGTTGTCGGAATTAGTAAACTGTGGCCAATGGTGATGCTTAGAATATTCAAAGTCGATATTGCACATAATACTAAGTGATGACTGAGGGGTTTTGTTTTTGTTTTGCGTATGACACTGCAGAAAGACGCAGCAGGTGTGCCGACTGAAGTGTGAAAGCAGGAGGAGAGGCTTGCATGCGTGGCCTTAACCTTGTTGCTGCTTTGACATGATTGAAAAGTGAAGGTGGCTAGAGACCCTTAGGAGAAAAATAGCTTTCCCTCTGTTTGTATATGAAGACTGCCTTGCAGAGTTAGAGCAACAGTCTGCCCGCTGTAACATATTTTCCCAAGTTATGTGTAGGGCCTACAAATGAGCAGTAACTTTCAAGACTTGTGGCTCTGAAAGAGCCGAGAAACCAGCAGTGGAAGATGCAGGGCTAGGTCCTCCCCAGGAGCTGTCTTGGTGAAACTTGGGGAACCCTTCTGAATAGGGTTAGCATTTCCTTCTTCAGAGTTTGCTTCTATTTTGTTAAAAAAATTACAGTAATTGGAGTGTTAAGTCTACATTACAATATGTGTTGCTCCCCCCTCCCCTATGGCCCATTATAATGATTTAGCTTTGCTCTTACATCCAAACTGGAAATGGTCTTTTGCTATTTGGGGCATAATGATCAGCAACGGCTGGTACCTAAAAGGAGGAACTCACATGTAGGAGAAGAGGGCAGGAGAGATTGTGTGAGCTTGAGACTTGAGACTTGCAGTGCCAGGCGATTGTCTAGTTATTATTTATTAGTTTCATTTATATGCTGCATTTCTCCCGACAAGGGACACAGAGCGGCTCACAACATGAAAATTCACACAATTTAAAAAACACAGTAACTTAAATATTAAAAGATAAAATAAACAATATATGACTTAAAATACAATTAAAAGATGAAAACATAAAAAGATTAACATTTCTGCTGAAATTCAAGGATTCAGTGGTAATTGTTAAAAGCCTTGGGTGTTATATTATTCTTAGGATCATGTTGTTTGTATGTAGGTGGGAAACTAGGAGCCCCTGCTTCACCTTCCATCCTATGAATCTGGGAAAGTGCACCTGTAGCTGCTTGTAAAGCAAAAGAAAGATGCCTGAAATGGCTTTAGGCAGGATTTTTTTTTTTTTTGCCCTGGCTAAGCTGAACTAATTGTTCCCTACTGCGGGACCATTTGCATTGGCTTCCTCATGCTAAATAAATGTATGCATGTGCAACAGGAGGGTAGGGAGACTCTCCATCTTCCTGTATTAGCTAAAAAGTCTTTAGCACTTGATTGGAAGTGGACATCTGCAAACTTCCTGGGATTAAGACTGTTTCTGGCACTGAATACAGCACTAGAATATCAATGGGAATGCACACTGCAGAACTGTAGTTATGCTACTGTGTAGATGTATCAGTAGTAATAACAAGAAAAGGTGATTTTGTTTGTTTGTAAGCAACTTTAATATTACTAATAATAATTGTGTACCGTCAACTCAATTCTGATTTATGGTGACCTTTTCCAGGGGTTTCCAGGTACTGTACAGAATACACAGAAGTGCTTGACCATTCCCTTCCTTTAGGGGGAGCCCTGGGACTGTGCAGCCTGCCCAAGGCTACCCAGGCTGGCTGTACTTGCAGGAGGCACAGGAGGCGAATCAGACTCCCTCCTAACCTCTGGCTGTGCAGCCAGATTCCTAAACCCATGAGCTATCCAACCAGCTTTTGAGATTTCTAGTGGTTATGAGCAATTTATCAGCATATTTAAGAGTATTAATAAGAAAAGGTAAGATGCGGTCGCTAGGAAAAGCTGGAGTGTGTTTAGAAAGTACTCTATGTACATGGCATGAACAGAAAGAAAAAGTTAGGGAAGATTAATCAGCATTTCCCCTCTCTTTCCACTCCTCTGGCTTTCTTTGTGCAGGCAGTTGGCTTGCCTATTGCTAACTTTTAAAAGTGTGTGTAAGAAAAGTTGTCAAGATTTCAAGAAGGGAACTGTCTGTATTTCCTCTTGAATGTTTACATGTAAAAACAAGAGAGGAGGCCAGTGTTATGCGGATTGCTCCCCCCCCCCCAGCAAAAGATTGATAATACACAAGGTACTTGAGGAATGTATGGCCACAATTCTGGCAAAACCACTTTTGTCCTGTAATAAGAAAGAGAGAAAGATTTCCCTTTATAGCCAAATATGACTTTCCTAGCCATCTGTATATCTGGAGCAAGTGGCCACGGGGCTCTGGAGCGCTCTTTTTTTGATGCAAGTCTTGTTCAGGATGAAAAATTGTATATGTGCAAAATGCAAAGAGCTAATATTTCTTCTTTTGCATAATGTTTTACATTTGTGCAAATCCCTTATGGCTCTGCTCCCCCCCCACATGTGTAAACATATATTAAAAAAACAAGCCTTGATGAATTGATCCTCTTATAAGCTATTCATGCCTTCAGAATTGCATTCAGTAAACTGTGGCAGCTCTAAGTTGAGTAGAGCAATCTATTATACAGATAGCTGGCATACACTTGTGTATCTCGTTTGCTTTTCCAGGATCCATTGGTCCTTAGGTCTACAAAGCATCTATAAAATCCTTGAAGAATGTAATTAAAGTTGGCACCTAAAAATGATCACTTGTTGCAAGTAAATCATGTTAAGACTGATTAGAGCAACATTTGCTTAGCACATTTTGGTTTTATATTCTTCTTGTTTCTTAGTGGATCCGAGTGGAAAAGTGGCAAGAAAAGGCTGCAATAATTGCCATTTGTTGCTTTGTTGGACTCCTGAACCTTGAGTAGCATTTTGTTCACTAACACTGACAGACGTTTCTTTCCTTTGCAGAAAGTAGGGGTGACAGGAGCCCCAGATCCACAGGTTCGCTGTCCATCGGTCATTGAGTTTGGGAAATATGAAATCCAGACCTGGTATTCCTCTCCATACCCACAAGAGTATTCCAGGTACAAGTTGCACTTTTCATTACGCACTCTGTGTTGCACAGCTGAATGGTTCACAAATACAGAAGATACGCTGTAGCTGTACTTTCATCCTAACAAGCTTGTATTTTAAATACATATTGTCCCTTGAAATTAAGACTGTGTGTGCTCTGTGCAGAACAAATGTGTAATGAGGATAAAATTATTCAGACTAAGTCAGTAATATGTATTGGCTTGGTTTATGTAGGTCTCTTTCAAGGTTGAAGCTTTCAAAAAAAATCTGAATATTTTTAGCAAGGGCTGTGAAAAGGGAAGGATGTAGATAGCGTAAAGTTGAGTGTGCACATGGTTTTAAATGCCTTCCTGGTCTTCCTAAGCCTACCATCTACTGTTGTGTTTTTTTCTTTGAATCTACCAAAGACTATCCACATAGGTAGAACGTTTGCAACTGTGAAAATTGTGAATTTCTTGAAAAACAATAAATGGAAGCACAAGCATTTCAGCCTATCCAAATCTAGTTGACTCCTCTTGCTTATCATATTATCTTGACGTATGATGTAGGCATCGGTCTCCTCTGTGTTTGACCAGTGAAATGTGATATTTAGTGAATCTTGAAAACGTATTCAGAACAGAGCTGAATCCTGCTCAGTGCAGTTGACATGCTGTAACAGTGTTCTGCTTTGTCTAGACAATTTACTCATTTAAAACATTTTTATCCTCCAAAATGTTTCCTGCAGTGGTGTTTATATATAGTTAAGAAAAACAAGATTGTCTGTACCCACCACTTGCAGAGGAAGAAGCCATTGCATAAGGGGAAACGGGTAGGTGCAGAAGAGGCACACGTCTTTCTGCCAGGCTGGTGCAATGACCTGAGTTCCCATCTTTTCCTCTACTGCTGTCTCATGGAATGCCTACCATTCACTTAATAAAACAGGAAATGATGAGGAATGTAGAATTGTCTTGGCTATATCTACATCGAAGCAAGAATAACAATATTATGCAACTACATGTTGAGAAACTAAGCATCAAAGAGGTTGAAAATAAATGTAAGATTGAACTCTTTCCAGCTTCATATCTAAGAATGGGCAGTCTTGCATATCCTATAGTGATCTTCCATTTAGGCCTCTTGCCTCTGCAATAGAACATACCCCAATGCATGTCTGAATCTTCTTTTGGGACTTCTAAATTTCTGTCCTATTTCATCAATACCCAGCTTTTAATTCAGTTAAATTATCTTCTTGGTTTTTGGATTTGCCATAGTAGAGAGAATGCCAGTGATGGTTTTGTGGAGAAGGTGCTGCATATTTTGTGTCTGAGGAAATTTAAACCTTGCATGTTTTGCAGGCTGCCTAAGCTGTACATTTGTGAATTCTGTCTCAAGTATATGAAAAGCAGAACTATCCTCCAGCAACACACGAAGAAATGTGGTTGGTTTCATCCCCCAGCCAATGAAATTTACAGGAAGAACAACGTTTCTGTCTTTGAGGTAGGTTTCCCAAAATTATTAGGTACTGCTTTTTATATGTCTGCCCCAGTTTAGTTAAAAAAAATATCTGAACCTTAAACTCTCTGCAGCACTCTGTGTTTTAACAAATAGGAGTGGTCTTGAGGTGATGTGATGGGAATGTGTTCAGGTCATATACACCGTCTTTGGAATCGTGTCTTTCAGTGGGATGGAGTGAGGCAGGAAGTGCCCCTGGGGAAGGCAGTGGAATAGGGAAAAAAGTGGGTGAAAAAGGGTTCAGCACACATGTAGAATCCTCTTTCACCTAGTTAAAAAAAAAAAATCTGAGCCTTAAACTCTCTGCAGCACTCTGTGGAATGGAGAAAACAGTGGGTGAAAAAGAGTTCAGCACACATGTAGAATCCTCTTTCACTCACACTGACATTCACACTCTGTTCCAAGTTGCCTTCTTCCAAACTGGGTTTCCAAAATCTGGCATAAAGGTGGGCAACCTTGGGACCTTCTTGGGACTTACTCGGCCCTTTGCAAGCAGTTGGGGCACTTTTCTCCCCACTGACTAAAGGAACACTAAGGGAATCATAAAGAGAAAGAGGAGCTGTTCTATTTCTTGCTGCTTCTCGTCTGTCGCACCCATAATTCGGACTGGGGATTCCCTCTGAATCATGGTGGTGGAAGTCCATGAAATACAGACGTCCTGTCCCTGGTGAATGGTAGAAGATTGACTTTTCCTGGTCCATTCATTGGGTGTTGGCAAGCAAGGTGCCCATTTCCCCAAAGCAACGAATCTCCTCTCTCTGTGTTTGAATTCTCAAGCTGACGGCTGTGGGACGGATTCAGGTACATCCTGTTTGGCTCGTTTGGAGGGCTTCTTGTGGGTGTCTGCTAGCAGCCTCCTCAGGATGATGGGATTTAACCTGTTCTCTTGTTTCTTGAAGGTGGATGGCAACGTCAGTACCATTTATTGCCAGAACTTGTGTTTATTGGCAAAACTCTTCCTGGACCATAAGACACTGTATTATGACGTGGAGCCTTTTCTCTTCTACGTTCTGACCCAAAATGATGTGAAGGGCTGCCACCTTGTTGGCTACTTCTCCAAGGTCAGTGTGTGCAGATCAGACCAACGTCTGGATTTCAGCTGTAGATACTGTATAATGTTGGTATCACCTTGATGACACAAGGCAGTGGGCAGTCCTGTGGTGCCTTATTTTCTGAGATAAATAAACCCAGGGCCAGCTATACTTTCTTCTTGAAAAATACAGTGAAATTCTGCACTGTGCTAATCCATATATTCTGTGAAAGAAAGGTGGATTGTGTGAACTATAGAAATTATCCCCACCAAGTGGGTTTGCAGGTGTTTTCTTATTTTTCATAACTGTGATTTTCACTACCTTGCAAATGCTAGGTGTGAACCTAAGCTTAACTGCTACATCTCTAAGTTTAACCCTTGCTATTCGCCATTCTTGTATTTTAGTACACACTAAGCTAGATCTAGTTGTTTGTCCCAACTAGTGTTAAGTTCCATTGAACTAGTGCCATTTTCTAAATGTTGACTTTCCAGTTCTCATTAAGCACTGAGTCTATTCCAATTGGTATTAATAATTGGATTTAAGCCATTAGCTATATAGAATATACTGTACATGAAGTATAGTAATATAGCATAAAGGCTGGAAATGTGGTTTTTTAAACAAACACTTTTGATAAGCAGAATTCTGCTTATCAGAATCTGATTGGCATCGAGTTGGAAGTTTGACAGTAAATGTAGCTACAGTTAAGCCAGCTCTAAGTGGCTCTAAAACTCTTGCCTCATAAAATGGCACTTGGCTTAGCAGTGGTTTGAAGCAACGGGTACTATTTTTCCATGCATCTTTAAAATCCTGCATAGGCATAATTCAGGGAAGTGAAGCAGTTAATGAAGCAGCTTTCTCTTTATCCGGTTGCACTGAATCTATCCTCCAAGGAGCATGGATTCCAAGAGGGTAGAGGGTTTTAAATGACTTCCTAGTCCCTGGCGGGGGGTGGGAAGGTGAAGAGTCGAGCAAGTTGGAGAAGCAAACATTAATTGTTACCTTCACTGAGCTTGTTTCTCAAATCAGATGCTGATCTCATTTCAAAGCTTTTGTTTGCACTTTGGAAGAGAGACTGTTGTGGCTGAATGCTGCTTCAGTATTTCTCATTGAAAGCCCCATCTTTACATTCGCCCCCATACTAAAGCCCAGAAGCTGTTTAGCTTGGAGAACAGACTTGAGAGAAGCAATCTGTGCAGCCATAATTTGTGTGCCTGCCATCATGTCTCCACAAGTCCACAATCAGATGGGGCTTTTATGTTGTTCTAAGTGTCCTCGGCTCTGTGCGCAAACAGTAACGAGTTGGGTGACAACGAGGCTCTTACCTTTCTACCCTGAACTCTTTGCTTTGATTACAAAATAACATCTTGGCAGTGGTCCACGTGCTTGATTTGGAAAAAAAAAACACTGTTTCATTCTTGGCCTCCTTAGTTTAAAAGAACCCGGGAAAGGTAGGTGGGAAAACCTCCCACAATGAAGACCCTGGGGATTCAGGGTTAATGATGATAGATTGTACTGGGCTAAAGGCAGGGCTGGAAAAGTTCCCTTGTTGGGTGCCCAGAATGGGCATTTTGGCTGTGTGGGATTCTGGGAGCTGTAGTCCAACAGAAACTTTCCCATGTTCTAGAACAGTCGCTGAATTTGGTATAAATCAGTTTCATATGGCTAGAGAGTCTGTTCACCCTTCCTCTCCCTGCTGTTGTATTAATTGCAGTGGCTTGACACTTTTCTGCAGGCTTTTGTTAGAGAATCCTTGAGGCAGATGCTTATGATTTTCTCTAGTGGACTTTTGTGTCTTTTACTTCTCTATCTCACTATTCTTCCTTCATTGTAAAAAAATATGTCTCTGTTCTCTCTCCCCCGGTACTGCCACCCTTTTGCAGGAGAAGCACTGCCAGCAGAAGTACAATGTCTCCTGCATAATGATTCTTCCCCAGTATCAGCGCAAAGGCTATGGCAGGTTCCTCATTGACTTCAGTAAGCAACTTTTCATTTCCCTCATTTTCTTTAGCTCTGTATCACAGTTTGTGAAATCATACAAAACTCCAGGAGTAGGAGATGGGCATGAATTAAAAAACGATTCACCAAATTAATTTTTAAAAAATCGCTAATTCGTCAGTTCATATTTATATGAATCAATGCTGCTGATGAATACGAATCAACGAAATTTTAGTGAGTTTTGATTCATTGCTTTTATTGGCTATAAAATGGCCCCCAAGGCCCCCGGAGACACCATGTTTGCCGGGAGGCTTCCTCTGACTCTCCTCTACAACCCCTCCAACTATGCTGAAGTTTGGGCATCAGTTTCCTCAAGCCAGTTGCTAAAGGGAACTTTGCTTGTGGGAGGGGGGGAATGACCCACTTTGTCGGTGTGTAACTTGGGGTGTCTGAAACCCAGAGACTTCGCCCAACTTGCAGGGCTTGTCGAGGAGGGTCAGGGGAAGCTTCCCTTTGAATTTGGTGTCTCTAGGTGCTCGGGAGGCTGCTTTATATGGTTTTAAAGTCAAAAGAACATTGGTGATCTGGATTATCTACATTTTGTAGATCCTGGAAGGACTCTTGTTTCCCCTTGTTTATTTCTTCAAAGCATATGTCCTTGCACTTTTCCTACAGAGGCAACCACCCATCTCCTTTTCAGCATCGGAGATAGCTAAGGCTGGGATAAATTATCCTCCCCTTTCTCCCAACTCCACAAAGAAGTGTCTCTGTTCTTATTTTTATTGATTTGTAAAAAAAATGTTTCTTCCTAGCTTTTTTTTTTTTTTGCTCACATAGCCCAAGGAGGTTAGCTGTTAAATTTTTAAAAAGTTACGAAGGCACGGATCATTTACCAGTAATGTTCCAGGTGTTTTTGGAATTCAGTTTCATCTTTAGTCTCAACATTAGCTCAAGTTTTTACCAGATTCTATATAATAGTGCTGTGACTGTCAGTGTATCCTTTCATTTTCAGCCCTGTTGGGTGAGGCTCCGCCTCTCGCACACATGACTTTGCCCCCCCCCGTGTGTGTGTGTGCACAACTCTGCTCCCCCCCCCCCTCCTGTATGCAGGTTTCCCTCATGACTGGGACCAAAGGGTTTGAATATGATCATTGCATGGAGGAGGAAGAAAGCTGCATGAAGGGAGGTGGAGCATGACTTAGAGGAATTCTTGGTAACTGTAGATCATGCCATGACCAAATAGTGGGTCCTAATATGGCAGTTGAAGGCCACTGGAGTAAACCCAGGCTGTGGACCTCTTCTGTTCTTCTCCTCTTCTGTCGGAGGAAATGCATTTGATCACAAAAGCTCACATCAATATATATTGTAGTTAGTCTTTAAGTTGTCACCTTTTTTGGTTCCCTGATTGTTATTTTGTTCTGTTTTGGGCCTGATCCTGCCCTTCCAGCAGCTGTTAAACTGCATCTCCCTTCTGCATACCCAGTTGGTGGGTGAGGAGTAATGGAAATCTTAGTCCATCCATCAGAGCAGAGCCATTTCTTGGACAGCAGCCCCCCCAGCTCCCTCCCCAATCCTCCAACTAGCACGACGAGTGAGCTACTGGGAATTGTAAACAACCCCCTCCCCAGTGTTTTCCAAACTCTCATTTGGAAGGGCACAGAGTTCCTGCCGTGATTTAAACATAATTGCAAAAGGAAGATTGGAGCAAAAAGAACATTGCAATTGATTCTGGTTGAATAATATTAGGATACAACTGGATCAGAAGGAATTGCACAGTTCATATCGTACTAAAGAAATGGGTCTCTTTCTTAGAAGCAGAATAAAACTGATGGGGTTGCTGTATGACTGGTAATGTTCAACTCGCATTATAAATGTTTGTCTGAAAAACAGCGCCATTGAGGGACCAGCATCCACCTTGCTTAATACAGGAGGCTTAAGAGCACAAGCGGTTAGCTTGGTTTTGAAACAGGCTGTGCTCCATCCCTCCAGAAGACAGTCCCCTGGGATTACAGAGATTTGCTCTTCGGTGGTTTAGAAAGCAGCCGCCTCTATCACTCAGTGATATTAGTGCATCAGAGATGATTCAAGTGCTAACAGATATATTTATCCAGGTAGCCTAACTACCCCGGATAAAAAGGAAACTTTTACTTCAAAAGTAAGTGTCTGCATTTGAGATTCAGACCAATGTTATGTTGACTTGAGCCTGGCGTATATACCCATGGGTTCTCTGCCTGTGCAGACACGAGCTGTTGTTGATTCTTAATCTTTTCAGTGCACCATCATGGAACCCAAATGCCCAGTCCAGCCAGATAGGTTTTAGCTGAACCTGCTCACAATTTCCTAGTATAAGAGAATGGTTTGTTTCCCCTGTTAGATTTGCAGCACTAAATTGTATGCTTGCCCCAGGCTCCAAGCTGTCCTCATGTCTTAAATAGTTCTTGGAAATGCTGCATTTCCCTTCTTAGTGCTGAGGGAGAATTAATGTGCATCTTCCCTTTGCAGTGGCTTCCTAGAGATGCATTAGGACAGTCTGAAGTGATTGGGGATTTTCTGCTGTTCTGATAGTTCTGGCACAAACCTACTACCTCTTTCCTCAGGGTGCATGGCTCACTCCAAGAGGGGGCTCAGTAGTGAGTGAATGGAGCCCTAAGGAACAATAGGGAGGTGCCTGCATGCTCAGGGGAACTCCAGGGTTTGCAGAAGTTTTTTTTAAAAAGAGACAAACATCGATAGATGAGAACATAAATCCCAGAGCATGCAGCTGAGCGTTGAGCATGCTCAGTGACTGTGATACCAAAGGGGTAGGTGACGCGTGCCAGGAAACCGCGTTGTATGAAATGGAGGATTCTGGAAGAAACAGTCTGTCTGGAACACAGAACAAACATATATCACATAGGGGGGTGTTTTGCTGAAAGTCTTGTTGGTAGACTAGAATAAGAAAAACCTTGCCACCTAGTGGCCTCGTCACTGAAAGTCAGATGGAGTGTTTCCTCGAAGAGCCTTTCCTTCCACTTCTGTAGGCATTTGCTTTTCTGGATGGTGTCTGGAATTGTTGCTGCCTGAAAGAATTACTTGCCCTCTTTGGAAATTGAACTTCTAACTGAATAGATAGCTGGACTTATAATAGACAGTTGAATTCTGAATGTGCTATCTCTCAGAGGCCATAATTGTGTTGGCGATTTACGCTTGCATAAGGGAAATTTGTGTATGCTGCAGTGGCAAAATGCCATGTATAAACAAGGTGCTGGTTGTGTTCAGGTGTGTATCCACCGCCTTGCTAATGAGTAGCAATTAGCAGCTTTGGTTTCCCCTGAAGCAAATGTGCCTTGCCAATAGGGCTCTGGCCAAAATGGCCTTTAGCAAAGGTTAGAATTATATAGATCTGCCGTGGGGCTATGTGAGCTTTTGGGAAACGAGCAGATGCTAAGGAGATCCGCAGAAGTAACCTCTAGGCTATGCATGTAGGGGTGTAGCAGTGGTTTCCTGTTATAGAGCCAGTTATAAACAGATTTCCCCGACTTTGGCTGGAAACAGTGCTGTATGTAACAAGGAGATCCACAGAAGTAACCTCTAGGCTATGCATGTAGGGGTGTAGCAGTGGTTTCCTGTTATAGAGCCAGTTATAAACAGATTTCCCCGACTTTGGCTGGAAACAGCAAAATATTCAGGTAGTGTTTTGGAGGAAGCAAACACAGCTGTCTTAAGAAGCCCAGCCCCCAGTGCTTTCTTCTTTTCCCCCAGGTTATCTCCTATCAAAACGTGAAGGCCAAGCGGGATCCCCAGAAAAGCCGTTATCAGATTTGGGTCGCCTCTCTTACATGGCTTATTGGAAAAGTGTAATCTTGGAGTGCCTTTATCACCAAAACGACAAGCAGATCAGCATCAAGAAGCTAAGCAAGCTAACGGGCATCTGCCCTCAGGACATCACTTCAACCCTGCATCACCTGAGGATGCTTGATTTCCGTAATGATCAGTGAGTATCATCGTCCAGTTGTTTCTCTGGCAGGACTGGGGCGGTGGTGGAAGTACAGAAAGAGCAAAGGTGGCAAATCAAGGGGAGGTGGGTTTGTGGCCGGTACAGATTCTGCCGCTGAATGGCAAAGTAGAGGCACAGAATTTCTGGAAATCCAAGCGCTTCAGTTGGAAAAAAAAAGGGGGGGGGCGGATACGTGTCCATGCCTTGCTGTTCTAGAGCAATGTTTGAAAGTTTGTCAGTAGTGTCTGCTGGAATCTTAACTGACAAGGGGAGCCAGATTCAGATGTGTTTGCTATAATTTAAAGTGTCCCCTTCATGTATACAGAATACATATCTTATCTAGGAGAATCACAAGTAGCCTCAATATACTGGAATAAAATCACAAGAAAAATGATATTGAATGGGTGGGGATTCATCCAGCTGGAAATCTGGCTCCAATCGGATGTTAAGGGGTTTTTTACCTGTTTCCTTCCTTTGCAGGATTTCCAGTGGACTTTGTATAGGGGCTTTAAAACCTTGTCTAGCTCCTCTCTGCCAGTCTCTTATATACAGAAGGAGAAGAGATTATACAGAATAATGCCATTTACATCATTCAGTTAAGAGGAATGATGCAAATCTGGCCAAATGTCATAGTTTGCATACATTTCCCTGCTCTTTTTGTAAGAGAATGTAGACTGAGTTCCTGCAGAATTGCAGCATTTCTGCAGGCACACCACCCTCGCTGTGTGGAAGAAGGGTCCTCCTGTCGCTTGCATCTTGGGCGCATATAACCAGCTTTTGCTGGGGTGGGAAATTGGGGGCGGGGCAATGAGAATGCCGTGACTAGGCATGGAAAAGAGACAAAACATGTTGTGCAGCTTTTAAAGTCTGTTGCAGAGAAGAGCTGGCAAGTCACATGCAATCGGATTGCTTCCTTGTGCTGACTAGCAGACCAAATCCAGCCTGTTGGGTGGAAGTGCATGAAGCTCTACAGAAGCAAACTGGAGTCTGCCATCTGCTGCTTGAGACACCATTCCATATTCTTGCCATTAACAGTGCTCATTAAGGCTGAGCAACCCAAACATGCAGATTCTGCACTCAGGCTTTTACACTTCTGCAGTCTGCATATATTGCCCCAAATTGAGCAGACTTGTGCAGTTCCCTGTTGCGTGGCATGATGTTAGCACTGCTAAATGAGCTTTGCCACCTAGGCCACTAGAGGTCTGGACTTGATGACCCACAGGGTCCCTTCCAGCTCTGTGGTTCTAAAATTACAAGCTAATGCAAGATTTCTTCCTTTATTAGCCCTTTGGCTTCTAAGACTTAAGCAGCCAGAACTCACACTTTTTATCTTGCCTAGCCATAATACTGTAGCTAGAGAGCTCATGCTTCCTCCTACCACCACAGTTTTCAGATTTTAGGCAGTTGAGCATTTACAACACCCACAGATCCCTGTGCATAGTATTGTGGTAATCTTTTAATTGGGTTTGATTTCTGCACAGCCCTTCGCAAAATCTTAGAGTGACGGCACTGGTGTCTCTGTGTAGATTATACAGTAAAAGCTTTGTTCCTTTTCGTCTGTGCTCCTGGGACTTGGTGCTACTCAAGCTTTGGGGCTTATTTGGCATCCATTTCAGGGCTTGTGGTTTTTTGACGGTGTGTGTATGTGTGTTGGTTGTTTAGTAGTCTTAGCTTCAATAATTGAACTGAAGTAGGTCCTTCCAAACCCTTGCCAGCTTTTGTTATGTGATACTTACAGATGACCCAAGAAGCCAGAGAGGCTGGTGGGTATCTAGCTGATCACCCTTTTTTAAATTCTCCTTTCCTCTGTCCATTCTGTTTTTATATGACAGATCTGTGCCATCTATTGATAAGGGTTGTTGTTTGTGAGTTGCTTTTAATGCTTTTATCTTTATTTTTTGTTTTGTATTATATTTGTTGTAACAGCCCAGAGTAATGCCCCGGCACTAATGGGAGCGGGATACAAATCAAATGAACGAACGAACGAACGAACGAATGAATGGTCTTTTTATGCCTTTGAGTGTTCTTAATAAGAATTGTAGGTATATATTTGACCCATTCCTTTTTTTAGAGCAGACAGTGTTGAAACTGCCTGTGTAACAACAGTTCAGGTGCAACTTGGCCATTCTTTGTTTGAGTGAAGCCCTTTTGTATGGCCTCTTCAGGATGGCCTGGGATCATCTTGCCTTGAAACAAGAGTCTGATCCTTTTCAGAATATTAGTAGCAGAACCCTACATTTGGGTCCCTCTTGGGAAGAGAGACAGGGGAATGATTCAGTACTGGGAATGGCTTTTTAGCCAGAGCCCCGAAATACAGTATAGGTTCCTTAGAGAGAGCCTTGCCTATTTATGCTTTCCAGAGAATAAGCAAAGCTGGAAGGGATCCTAAGGCCAGAGACCATAACCACTCAGCTATCCAGCAGTTTTGTTGCACGTAGTGTCAGTTGTAGGTTCATTTTAGGGAAGCCCAGGCTGTATGGCCTTGGACAAGATCCACAGTCCCAGGAAACCCCTGGAAGAAGGGAACAGGAAACCACTTCTGAGTATTCGCTGGGTATTTTCAAAGGCCAGCTGAAAACCTGGCTATTTAGGCAAGCCTTCCCTCCAGCCACCTCTTGATTTATTTTGTTTTCTCATCTTGAGTCCTTGTCTATTGATCTATATTTTAAATGGTTTGTTTTAGATGTTGTTAGCCCCCCCCCCCGAGTAGTCAGTTGACTAAATGGGTGGGGTACAAATTCAATTAATAAATAAATAATAAATAAAATATTCTCTACCTGGAAAAGGTCACCATAAGTCAGAATGGTCTTGACAGCACATTATTATGGTTGTTGTTTTTATTGTTTATTCATTTATTTTTAGTATTTTATGTGTTTCCAATCTTAAAAAAAAACTTCAATAAAGCTTAGCGTGGAAAATTATAGAGCGTAATTGGCAATTAGATCTTATCCCTCTTCCCAAATAATAAAACAATAAAATCATTAAGATGCATTAAAAAGAGTTAATTAAAAATCAAGATTAGGTGATAACATTTATAGTCAAATGACTGAAGATCATTTGGAAGTGTAGATAGCGAAAAAGATAGCTGGATTTGCTGCAGAACGTGAATGGGAACTGAATCCTCAACTTCTTTGCAAATTACAGAACTGCAAAACCGTTAAGATCCATTCAAAACCGTTTATTAAAACACAAGGCCAACTGATAACATTTACAATCAGGGAAATGCCTTGAGTGGACAGGTAGATGATTAATTGATGATGGAAGCACCCAACAGATAGGTGCCCTCTAATTTCACTGGGGGGACCATTCCACCGTGTAGACACCACAACAGAGAAAGCCTCCTTCTGCACCATTGTCAAAGAAGCTGTACCAGGTAGAGTCAGCAGTGCCTCTGTTCGGAACATGACATCTATGGCAGCCAGCGTGGGAGAGACCAGTCTCCCAGAAAGCCTGCACCTGAACTAAGTCCTTATAAGCCTGGTGGAAGCCCCCGTGGGAAGAAGGATCAGGGTGAGACACAGAATATGGGCCAGAGCTCACGAGAGGGAGCCGTAGGGATTTGGGAGTTGGCTTTTAAGTGGGACGAACTGTACGTACCCTGTCAGTAACAGTTCTCTAGGGCTGCTTCTATCAGTCCGTTGGCAGCCTCTTCTCTGTGTCACCCTGCATTTGCATGTTTGTTAGCTGTATGTATTGCCAGTTGACTGATGGTGTTTTCTTCACAGATTTGTGATCGTTCGGCGGGAGAAGCTTATTCAAGAGCACATGGCAAAACTGAAACAGAACCTCCGACCCGTCGTCGTGGATCCAGAATGTCTGCGCTGGACTCCTGTCATCGTCTCAAACTCTGTGGTTTCGGAAGATGAGGAAGAAGAACACGAAGAAGGGGAAGGGGAAGAGCAGCAGCCAAAGGAGAGAGAGATAGAGGTCAGTGTGCAAGGGTTCCTTTTTGAAACAGCTTAGAATAACATGCCCACGTTTTCCTTGCACAGCGGAAGGTGGAAGGGCAGTTTAAAAGGGCAGATGGTTAAAAGCCAGCTGCACTTGCTCAAAAATATTATTGGAGTCCTCTCCCTCTTCTCAGTCTGCCTCCCTTCCTTTGTGCTGTCCTAGGAAGCTTTTTAGTTCAAGAAAATAGCAAACAAATGGGAAATGTTCTTATACATAGTTAGACCGTTGGTCTAGCCCAGTGTGATCGTAGTATCTTTTCACAGTTAGGTGGAGTTCTTTCTTCTGAGATCCTTTAGCTGCAGATGGCTATAGTTGAATCTGTGATGTACCACAGATGGCCACATTTCACGAATGAGACGGGGAAAGAGCAAGTTGGTCCAGGTTTGGTTGCACGCTCCCTTTATGGACCTTTTTCCTCAGTTGAGTCTTCTCAGAGATGCTGGTAGGTTCCCTGGAGCCAACTACTCTTAAGTCGTCAACAACTGGCTCCATTTAGGAGATACCAGCAACGTATTAGGAGAGGACGGGACAGGCAGGGAGTACAGAAGGATGGAAAAGAAGGCAGAGGTCAGAGGTGCCCTAAGGGAGAGAGTTGTAGGTTGAAGGCCAGAGAAAGATGGCTGAAGGAAAAATGGGGAGAAAGGGGGAAGAAAAGAAAATCGATAGCTATAGATGTGAGGGGGGTTGATATTCACACATGGATGTGGGGAATGTTCCCGATCTCTGTCCGCAAGCTTCTAAAAGTTTAAACAGGTTTTCAATGTCTGTAGAAACTCTTGGTCTCAAGGAGGTCTCAAAGATACAATCAGTAGGATTTTTGTTCCTTGCAGGTGATAAAATCTGTATCCTGGGAAAGAAAAGAGAGAGAGTCCTGCTTCCCCCTGGAGAGTGAAAAAAAGTCCGACGTCCTCGCCCCCACCAACTCCGTGCGGCCAAACAAGCAAAGTCTTCCCCTGGCTGGTCTTCCTGCCAACAGCCAGACACCGCGGCGGGGCCGGTGGAGTCGCAAGAACAAAAAGCTGCGGGAGCCCTTTGCCGAGAAGGAGTCCAGACTGGTTCTAGAGGAGAAGGCGGCCATGGCCCGGGGTGGCCGGTGTGGGGAATGCCAAGAGAAAGCGGCCGCGGCAGCTGCGGCAGCCGCAGCAGCCGCCGCCTCTCGGGGCAGATTTGGGGAGAGTGAAGAGAAGAGCAGTTGCTCCCAGGGGCAATGTGGCAAGTGCGAGGAGAAGTCCACCGCGCCCCGGGGGCACTTTGGGAAAGTCGAGGAGAAACCAGCCATGTCCCAAGGGCCATATGGCAAAGGGGAAAAGCCTGTGACTACCCAGCGGCGATACAGCGAAGACCTAGAGGTCTGGAGGGGACCCTTGAAGACCCTTGAGCCCCTGAAAAGCAGAATCTCCGAGGAATGCAGCAGGCTAGCCCGTCGACACAGCGAGGGGGACCGGACCCTGCTGAGGCACTTCAGTGAGAGCAGTGAGGAGGAGGAGGAAGAGGAGGAGGAGGAGGAGCAGCCCGTCAGCCCTTGCTCCAACTCCCTGCCGATTCTCACAAAGCCCACCCTGAAACGCAAGGTGCGTGCTCACCTCCCA